TTTACCAGCCTCAGTTAGACTTCCTATAAAACCAACTGAGCTACTACTTAGAAGCCTTCCTCGGCCTCTACTGTTTACATCCAACAGATGTCTCTTGTTTGTACTGCACCCACCCTATGGTTCTTAGCACATAACCGTACTGCCAGTTTAGATGTTATAATGTCTACTAAAGGTCGTTGCATGGCCCTCATGTGGTGCCCATAGCAGATAATAGGAAAACTAAGACATGAGGTCACTGAAGACTGGAGATATTCCCTCCAAAGGAAATGGAGAACGCCAGTTACCGGTCTCTTTCCCTTCTTCTCCTGTTCCTTTTGATTTATGTTTGTCAGTCATTTGCTCCAGGGTGAGCTCCCTCCATGATGTTTCAGTCAAACCAGAGACTGAGCACACATGATATCACTTGAGTGTGGACTACAAACTCCAAACATGTGAGTAAAAGTAACTTTTCTCCTTCTAATTCTTGCCTCAAGGATTATGTCACAGCAATGGATAGCTTACGGTCTGCTACAAGTCAGCATGGAAACTGGGGTCAGCTTTGGAGGGTAGTGAGTGATAAGCAGATTGTTGGGTTTCTCCCTGTATCTGCTACAGTACTTAGAGTTCATTGTACAGAAATACCACTCACACATTCCTGTCCTCACTTTCCCCATGAGGAGAGGAGAGACAGCACCAGACATTGTGTGGCCTGAGGTGGGGAGGCAAGAAAGACCTTGCTTATTAAGGGGCAGAGCCTCTGCAAGGCGGGAAGAGTAACCACGGCTGAGAGTGCTCTGAATATATTCCACCGAATCCCCCTGCTCAGAAAACATCACCTTCCTGCGTTGCTTATCTTAGTCTGAGACAGACAAGAGATGACAATAAGCAGAACACAGAGGTGAAGTATAAAAGGCATCTAAAAGATGACGCCACTGATTAGGTGAGATCTGCCCTTTGAAATGAAGCAGGTTAACAACCTAAATATATTAGCACAGACTAAGTGAAAAGAGCTGGAATGCCCTACACACAAGGTACATTGACAATATTAGATTATTAGAAACAACAAGGGACAGAGACATCCCGGAAGTGACAAAAGGAAACCTTGACAGTAGGAAGGGGGGTCTTTGAGGGAAGTGGGGGACAGTGGGAAGGCCTGCACAGGATGGGTAATGCTGGCTGAATATGTACAAGGTACACGATGTGAGTCTGAGAGGGTGTCCTAGAGAAAACCATTATTTTTGTAAACTAATGAAAAGAAAAGGAAATCAAAGGAATAAGGCCCAGAGTTTTAAGTCAAGTAGCCCTAAGTTTTATAATTACATAGTAACAATCACACAGGTACAGATCATTTAAAATAGTATAGAGAAACATGATCTCTGACATAAAATGGTGTCATCTTAGAAATGACAAGTTAACTGCCTTAGTCCTGCATGAAAACGAATGAAAAAGAAAATACTGGAAAGATGATATAAGGCTGGAATCCACGAGCACCCAGGATGAACAGGGTGAATATTTTATAGTCTGAAGGTATTCTCTATCATGGAGAACATGCATACTACCCCAATGTCTATCTTAGTTGTATGTTTTTGTGAATGCAAGTAAATCCTAAGGTAATATATAAAAGAAAAAAATGCTAGTGTGGAACCTGCCTATAACTGTAGCAAATGGGGAGGGGCAGAGGCAGAAGCATTGTGAGTCCTGGGATAGCCTGTGCTACAAAGCAAGGCACTATCATGCACATATGGGTACATGTGCATGCACGCACACATGCGTGCGCGCACACACACACGCACACACACACACACACAGGAAATTCACAGTACTTTATAAAGAAAACAAACTATAATATTCAAAATTTATATGCAATTATCTGTGATCTGAAGCATACAATCTAACAAGAACATGTATCCGTAGTCATTGGACAAGCTGCTATCCATTTCCTATGGTATTCTGGTACGAGAGAGCCTTATGTATTTGAAAGCAAGGAATGCATCTGTCATTCAACTGTTCTCTGTACCTGCTCTCAGGACATCTGAGATCCTTGCTGCGCTATGCTCTTTCTGTTTCCATGTTTGCCCATCATTGGCTAATGACCATCCTCATCACAAGAAAGCTAGTCTTGGGTTCCTTGTGTTTTAAGAGAGTATCATTGAGGACAGGTACACACACACACACACACACACACACACACACACACACACGTACGTACGTACATACGTATGTATGTATGTTCTGGAGCTTGAAGTTCATTCTCAAGGAAGTTGAAATAATGTTTCTCTCTTTATCCCCACCCCTGTCCCAATCTTCCCGTCCCCTCCCCAACTAGTATTGGATAACCACTAAATAAAAGACCATGTAGAAGCACCAGCTGTTTTGTCTGGCTCACTGAAAATCTCAGAACTGTATGCACCAGAACTGAAAGCTACTATTTAATCACTAAATTTTATTTTGCCAATAAATTATTAGTCAACTTTTACTGGATAGAATTTGTATTGTGTCAGCAGAAAGGGGTTATTACTAATAATGTGAAATTCAATTTGCCACCTTTAAGGGTCCTGTGTTTGTTGATGTAAGTGATATGATTAAATTGAAGGGATAGCTGGCAATCTATATCACCTGCAAAGTAATAGTAGAAAGTGGCTTAACACCATTTTGTGAAGATAGAAGTGGCCTATTTTGAAGAAAGGTTGTGGTTCAGCTATGAATCAAAAATATCTAATAAATTTCCTAAATAGAAAGAAAGCCTGTATGGATGACAGTGACACATTCTATATATCGATTTAGATTCAACTTACACTCCTAGAAATCACCATTATTTGGTATATATGCCCTCCCAGAATAGGAAAGGCAGTGACATCATAATATACAATGTGATAGTAGTCTTTAAAGAATAAAGGCTAATTTCATGACTCAATTAATAGGGACCTATCCAAGGAAGATGCTATATCAAAACTAACATTTGAAGACAGTCATAAACTCCTAACAGGGTCATTAGCCAGTCTTATTTAACATCCTAATAAAAAGATTCAGAGAGTAAATTACTCTTTTAAAATACAAAATATGTGTACATATTTGATAATTAACTTAGAGAGAATCATCTTCTCAACAAACTTTTAAAAGCTTTTGAATGTAAATGAGAATTCCTGAAAAATAATTACAGTAGACTAAGATTTTGTATTTGGTTCCACAAGAAAGTACATCAGATGAACATGGTCATGAATACTTTGAAAAACATGGGAAATTTTCAAAAGCAAAAATGTGCTTGCTGCATTCAATTCTCATATTTGAGAGTCAAAAAGAAGCCAGGTCTGGGGAGATGGCTCAGTAGGTATGATGCTACTGCACAGGCCTGCAGCTCCCACATAAGCACTGAGATTGGCTGAATGTACCTTTGACCCAAGCACTGTGGAAAAGTTCACAGCAGGGTGATTCCAGGTGCCTGAGGGCAGCTTTGGGTTAGATGTCAAACCTTGTTTCAAAAATTAAAGCAGAGAGCAATCGAGGATGTCGACTACAGTCCACCTCTGACCTAGAAACATGCATGAGAGGTGAGCATAGCCCGCCACATGAGCAGTCACAAACAAAGCAAAGATTTAACAGGGAAAACCCAAGACTGCTAGGGAGATGTTGGTCAATGACATGCCAAGGCTGAAATGCCTGTTAGGGCCACCTTGCTGCTTGGCAGCCAGAGGCTTGGACACCAGCTTGACTTGCTCTTGCTTTAAGGAGGCAATTATCTTCCAACACTACAGGATCCTGTCTGCTATTCGGAGGCAGAGAGGCAGATGAGGTGCCTGTGTTATGTAACCAGACAGGAAAGAACAGCCTAGTGACTGCAAGACACCCTACCAGCTACACTTCAATGAGTTCCAAGTTAATTGCCCCAACTCTCCATCCCCCAACATGAAAGAAATTTAACTTTCTTGCTACCCCTCTGGTTAAATAAAAAAAATAAATAAATAAGGCACACTAGGGAGGCTGAATGAGAACCATTGTCCACAGACTAAAGTGTGGGAACCTGTTGTCCTCATGGAGGTAGAGTTGTTTTGGGATGGTTATGAAACTTTGGGAGCCAGAGTCTTACAGGAGGGGCACACGGTTGAGGGTAGGTTGTGAGAGAGTATAGCTCCGCCTACTTCCAGTTCACTATGCTTCCTGTTTGGGTTGAAGATGTAATCTCTCAGCTTCCTGCTCTGGCAACCATGCTACCCTTGCTGCCAGGCCCTCTCACCAAGATGGACTCTTCCATCTTTGGAATTGTAAGCCCGCCCCCCCAAAATGCTTCCTTAAGTTGCTTCTGATTATATTTCAGCATAGCAACAAAAAGGAGCCAACTACGTATTTCCAACTTTATTGTATGAATTATATAACTATAATGTGAAATTACATCAGAGCTTCACACGCAAGACATTGCTGTAGATTCTGGAGTCTTGTTTTCTCCTAAGGCTAAGATACTCGCAGATACTTTTTAGTGACCCATAAGCTCCTCCTTCACTTTTCTCTGCTGCCCTCAGATTCCCAGATTCCCAACACACACATTCAACTTTGCAATCTAAACAAGCTTGGAAAAGGATAAGACCTTTAGGCAAACAGTTTTTGCTTGTTACAATAGACAAGACAATTTTCTGAATGGTGAATAACACCTCTAGAGATACAAATTGAAGATTATAGATATGGCATTCTCTCCCACACAGTGAGCACTCCATAACTCACTCCACACGGCCAAGTTCCATATAATGCATTAACGCAAAACCTAGAGAAGGATGCAAAAAGTTGCCTAGATTAAGACACTTAGAACTATATTCAGAACTGAGTGGAAGATCACCCTCCAAGCCTGTCACCTACAGGAAAATAGAAAATTAGTAATCCATTATGTTTTACTCCATCAAGCCTAGAGTAAACAGTACTCAGGAGTGCCTCTAGGATGATGTTGTCCAAATTCAATGCCATAGATTTCATGGGAAATTAAAATCTATGTTCAGATAGCATGCAACACAAGTATCCAAAGTAGAGTTACATACCTGCATTTAATAAAGGCAAGTTGTCCTTTCCACTCACACTGTCTGGTGCTGTACATTCATATGCTACTGCACACTAGGAATTAATAGAAAAATTTAATCACAATTTAAAATGATGAAATGGAAGACTAAATGATTTGCTTTTGTTCGTAACAACATGAAGCTCTAGATGTGGTCTCAAGATTTTTAGACAATTATTTGTCTATTGCTTCAACTTGACTGTATCGTTTTCTGCAAGCCTTTACTCATATTTACATTAATACATCTGGATTGTGCAATTACAGAGTACACTTTAGTTATAGCTAAAGAGCACTCAAGGAATAACAAATAAGAAAATGTCTATCCCTTGAGTACAAAAATAAGACTTACATTCTTAGGAGAGTGAGCCAAGGCCTCAAAATTTGTATTCCTTTCACACTGGTGAATTTTAACATATTACCCATATTTTAAGTAAAGAAAATATTAAAATAAAAGTATATTGAATTATCTCATTTATAGGACAAACAGATATTTTTTGTCTCTAGCAAAACAGTGCAAACCTGCCGGGCATTGGTGACACATGTCTTTAGTCTCAGCACTCAGGAGACAGAGGCAGGAGGATCTCTGTGAGTTCAAGGCCAGCCTGGTCTACAGAGCAAGTTCCAGGACAGGCTCCAAAACAATACAGAGAAACCCTGTCTTGAAAAATCCCCAAAAACAAAAAACAAAAACAAAAAGATATATCAACAACAAAAAAACCAGTATGAACACTTGCTCTTAATGTAAGAGCTGCATTCTAAATAACTTGCAAAGCTAATGATTGAGAGTTCATCACATCTGAAGCTAAGAATTCTCTGGATAGAAGGAGAAGAAGGCAAAGAGGAGGGCAGTTGTGTGTCCCCAGTGATCAAACTGAAGCAGGAGACGACGCACCAAACAGTTGCTCACTTGACTTCCTATGAATCTGCAACTGATGGAAGAGACAACATTCTTCCAACCCCAAGCAGCTGGTGAGAGATGGTTATTCCTTTTTCTCTAGCCAAAGAGCAGAGGAAGCAGGGAGAATTTTCACAGCAAGCATGCCAGATATTAACAGTTAACATACACAGGGAACAATCCACAGCCTCAGATTCCCATCCCCAGGGGGTTGACCCAGAATTCCTTGGGCTATTTCCTGTCTGCTCTAATATGCATCTCCTTACCCTCACTTCCTCCCTTTCATCCTGTCCCCCGGGACTGGTCTCTTCTAGGAGCTCAGACACAGAACCTTCATAATAAAGGAATATACATATTCCAGAAAGATTTTTGAAGGGAAAGACAAAGATTCCAAGTCTTTGTTAATGACTCTAAATTCTGGCCACTGCTTATGCCTTGACTATGACATTCATTTACAATATTCAGTAAGTTTGTTAATATAGTTTCTGTATTGAGTTCCATCTATACAGGAGTTACTATAAACTTTATTCTTTTAAATGATTCTTCTGACCAACTATAAGTCACCTATGGTCATCTTCCTTTCTCTCATAGTTAGATGGGGGGGTACTCTTGAAATCACTGGAGACACCTACAGTGAGACTTGGTCTACATAAGGTTCATTTCCCCTGTTTCCTATAGGTCTGCATCTCATCTCAGTAAACACAAAGCTGTTAAATGATCACATGAAAACTCAGCAATCATCACATCAGTGTGGAGTGTCTATTGTCTGAAGTGAGACCTAGCTAACTCAGACTGGGACAGAAACTCTTTCTCAGGGGAATTCCTGGCCTGGGGATTGAAGGCAGGTCGACTCACTCCCAGTGGACCAAGCAACTATGAATCTGCTAAGATCACTGGGCTACTCCTATCCCCACTCAGGGCAGAAGTGAGCTTGGGCCCCTGCCTGGGGCCTAATTTCTGCTTACATACTCTGGGACCTACTGGCCAGGGAACTGCAGGCAGGTATACTTGACCCCATTCAAATGAAGTTAATTCACAAAAACATAGGCAATAGATAATCCCACTTTACCAAAAGTCAAAAGAAAAGGCAAGGTAAATCCATACACAATACCACCAACAACAACAAATCAAAAACAAACAAGAATTAACACTCAATGGTCCTTAATTTCCCCCAATATTAATGGTCTCAACTTGCCTATAAAAAGACATAGGCTCAAAGAATGGATAGGAAGACAGAATCCATCCTTCTGTTGCATACATGAAACACACCTCAACTTCAAAGACAGCATTACCTCAGAGTAAAGGGTTAGGATAAGGTTTTCCAATCAAATGAACCAAAGAAGCAAACTGGTGTAGCTATGCTAGTATTGAACAAATTAGACTCAAATTAAAATCAATCAAAAGAGATGAAAAAGGTCATTTCATATTCATCACAGGAAAACTCCATCAGGAAGAAGTCTCAATTCTGAACATCAATGCCCCAAATACAAAGCCACCCATGTTCATAAAAGAAACATTGTTAAAACTCAAATCCCACATAAGACCTCACCCAGTTATAGTGGGAGGCTTCAACATTCCACTCTTACTACTAGACAGGACCACCAGACAGAAAATTAACAAAGAGACAATCCTAGCAGAAGTCATGACCCAATTGGGCTTAACAGACATCTATAGAACATTCCACGCAAATACAAAGAATATACCTTCTTCTCAGCGCCACAAGGGACTTTCTCTAAAATCGGCCACATACTTGGCAACATAGCAAACTTCAACAGGTACAAAAATATTGGAATAATCCCCTGTATCTTATCAGACCACCATGCTTTTAAGTTAGAATTCAACAACAACATGAATTTCAGAAACCCTACAAACTCATGGAAATGGAAAAATGTGCAATTGCACCATTCCTGGGTCAAGTAAGAAATAAAGGAAGAAATTAAATACTTCCTAGAATTCAATGAGAATGAAGACACAATATACCCAAACTTATGGAACTCTTTGAAACAGTACTAACAGGAAAGTTCATAGCACTAAGTGTTCACATCTTGAAACTGGAGAATAGCAACACTGGAGAATTTTCAGCACAGCTGAAAGCTCTAGAACAAATTGAAGCATACTCACCCCGGAGGATGACAGGAAATATTCAAACGGAGGGCTGAAATGAATAAAGTCAAAACACAGAAAACAATACAAAGAATCAATGAAGCAAAGAGTTGGTTCTTCAAGAAAGTCAACAAGATAGACAAACCTTTATGTGAACTAACCAAAAGACAGAGAGAGTGCATGCAATTGACAATATCAGAAATGAAAACAGGGACATAGCAACAGACACTGAGAAAATCCAGAGAATCATCGGGTCATACTTTGAAAACCTGTACTCCACAAAATTTGAAAATTTAAAGGAAATGGACAATTTTATGGATAGATATGACTTGCCAAAATTAAATCAATAACAGATTAGCAATTTAAACAGACCTATATTCCCTAATGAAATAGAAGCAGTCATCAAAAGTCTCCAAACCAAAAAAATTCCAGGGCCAGTTGGCTTCAGTTTAAAATTCTACCAGAAATTCCAAGAAGAGATACTAGCAATACTTCTCAAATTGTTCCACACAATAGAAGCAGAATATTCATTGTCAAATTCTTTTTACGAGGCTATAATTACTTTGGTACCCAAGACACACAAAGACACAACTAAGAAAGAGAACTATAGACCAATCTCCCCCATGAACGTTGATGCAAAAATACTCAATAAAATACTGGCAAATTGAATCCAAGAACACATCAGAAAAATCATGCACCATGATCAAGTAGGCTTCATCCCAGTAATGCAGGGATGATTCAACATATGACTATCCATCAATGTAATCCACCATATAAATAAGCTGAAAAAGAAAAACCACTTGATCATCTCACTAGATAATGGAAAAACCTTTGTCAAAATCCAGCACCCCTTCATGATAAAGTTCGTAGAGATGTCAGGGATAACAGGAACATACCTGAACATAATAAAAGCAATATACAGCAAACCATTTTGGCCAGCAAGCTCTCAGGATCAGTCTGTCTCTACTTCAGGTCCACAGTGCAGGAGATCCAGGCACTCATAACCATGCTCAAGTCTTTATTGGATGCTGGATCTCAAAGGCTTGTTTGGCTAGTGATTTTATCAAATAAGCCATCTCTTTAACTGTTCAAAACTATGGAGACTAAAATGATGCCTCTTAGTTCAGTAGTAGTTTCTAGACTAATTTCATTTATGACCATTAGCCACATACATGTAGATCAGCTCCAGTGATAGATAGGTGTCCCACACTTCATGAAAATTCTGAGTGGGAAGACCTTCAGAGAAATGTACCCGTCTGCTGTTCTAAAAACATGTCACAAAGCACTGAAGGAAAAATGTATCTTCACATAATTCAAATGAATATCTGTTTATGAGAAGGTAATATGTATTCATCACTCAATCATAAATTTTCCTAGGCAGAAGAGAGAAAATTGCAAAAAAAAGGAGAAAGAAAATTGCAAAAAGTCAAGATTTGTTAAAAGTACAGATAGGATCAACTTTATGCCAACAATATTTAGCATATTTACCAGTTCTGTTAAGTTAACGACACACACAGTATGATCTGAGACTATCAATGTCTATAAAAAAATTTTCTGTCTGACATGAATCCATATTACTGGTCCATAAAAACCACATGACATTTTGGTGGGGTACATCCCTGGTAACAAGCTCCATATTTCTGCAAAGAGCATCACATGGATCTTTACACAGCTTTGTCATACTAGTGGACCAGAGTACCCAGGGCAGGTGAACCGTGAGTAAAATACTGAGGGGCTCAAGACAGACTCATCATCCCCCAGTTTGCATGACCTTATCACAGCATTGAACTGGAGCCAAGGGGTGGGTGAGATGCTGGGACCAAGTCAATGTGTCCCCGACAAACTTAGCATCCCTCAACTTCCACTGCCCTGGTGTCAAGGGCCAGCTGACCTGAGACAACATCAGTACAGGGTCATCCAGGGGCAGACAAATCAGGGACAGCGGCTCATGTTTGAAAAGGGAGGTGATGCTATGGCAGCTGGGGTCTTGGTATGTGGTCACAGGTTCGGGCAGGCCTGACTTCCTACTTTTGCACTTGGTGCCCAGTTGAGAATTCAAATTGTCTTTGGCTCAACTTAATGTGAGAACGTGTATAGTGGTGGCAAAGATGAGCATTGTGTGGAATGATCTGGGGAAAGTGGCCGGAGTGCGAGGACTAAGCCCCAGGCCAGACATCTCAAATGCACAAACCCGAGGATCTGCTGCAGAAAAACATCATGGCCCAACTTTCATAGGCAGCCTTGGAATATGTCACAGTGCATGATAATGTTCCTGGACGACGGGAAAGGAAAATGTGATTTAAGGAAAGAGGAAACATCAGCCTGCTCTGGGAAAATAGAACCATTTTTGAAAGGCAATCATAGATATGTTTTTAAACAAATAACTATATTTTGTAAAGGTTAGATAAATGTAATCTCCCTAATAGGTATTTCCTAAGGCTCAAATGTCAAGCATAGTCTATGCTGGCTAATCTTCATTGTCAGCTTGACTACCAATGGAATGAGCTGAAACACAAGCTGCTGGTCATTCCTGTGAAGGCATTTCTCAAGCAAATTATTTGGAGCAGCAAGACCCATCATGAGTGTGGCCTGCACCTTCTGGTGACAGCCCAGAGAAAGGGACTCAAAAGAGGAAACATTGCTTTCTCTTGCTGGCAAGCTCATCTGTCCCGTTGCCGTGACATTCCTTCCCTGATGTTAGAACCAACTCCTTTGGTGTACCAGCATGAATGAAGGTCAAGAGCTCTCCAGGAATCCTCCAGGCCTCTGACACCAGATCAGAACTGGAGAAATATCCAGCCTCACGGACTGAACAACTATGAAATTCTCCGCCTCTCTAGTGTAAAGCATTCATTGCTGGCTTACCTGGACCATATCCTTCTTAAAACACACACACACACACACACACACACAGAGGTGTACACGCACACACATGCACACATTCATTCTGTCAGTTTCAGTTCTGTTCCTTTACAGACCCTGATTAAAATATATTCCATGTAAAGGAGCAACAAAGCAGAAAGTAAGTCACAATAGGATTTATCCTTTAAAATGTTCATTTAAGACAAAGTTATGGTATGAAAAACTATTTTGTTACTAAAATTACAACAAAATAACTTTCTATGAAACCCCTGGAAGATTTTTAAGCCTCAAACAATTTCTTTAATACAATAAATATTATATTTATGGGAAATAGATTTAGGCTTATATTTATATTGTCTTTTGTTATTACTGTTGTTACAGAAAAGGGAGAAGAAAGAGAAAGGCCTGTGTAGACATTCCTTGGGCTTAGGCTTCAAAAAGAGTTTTATTTTAGTTATTATATTGCTAGCATTTAATGTCCTTGTCCTCCAGACCCCCTACATATAAGTTTTATTCGGCTTTCTCTCTCTCTCTCTCCCTCCTTGCCTGCCTCTACCTCTTCTCTCTGTGCAATTTTATAAAATTCGAAGTTCTTGTTCAATATTCTCTCCTTCATATAAAATTCAAATTAGAATTGCATCTCTTTCCAAAGATGTCTTTGGGAATAAAAGAGCAGACTGCATTTGGTAGTCACTTTCCCAGAATCCTCCCTGAGTCTCATGCAGTGTAATCACGGCACAATGCAACAATGATCTCCACTTTTGTTCCCACTGAGAAGAGATGATATCAACATGGGGGCTGGAACAGGAGAGAAAGGTGCTCTGAATGGCACAAAGCTTTAAGCTGTGGGTACACATGCACCGTCTTTCAGAGAGGAAATGCAAGTATTCTCCAAGTAAACAGGCTTTCTGCTTCAGAGAGGAAACACACATACTGTGCTTCGATTTCAGCGATGATCTCTCATTTAGCTTTTGAATAATGAGATTTCAAACCCCACAGGGTGTTGGCAACACAGGCTCCTGGCCAAGCTTATCATTTCTAATTTAATCTGTGCAACAAGCTGACTGCGAGCCTACCTTTTGTCCCTGCACATCTGTCGTGATGTGGTCCGTGTCCCCATCCTCAATCTCCCCCATCTTCACGAGGCTGACTTCTATGGTCCCAACCACTTTGCCACCATCTGAGGTTCTGCAAGTGAAAAAAAAATCAATGAAATACTGTGGTAAGTATCCTCTCTCTTGTCAGACATCCAGAACACATTTAACTCTGAAAACCAGGGATTGTTACACTTAAACAGATGTGGTCCATGCACAGCCAATCACATTGCTAGCATCGTGTCACTTTCATTAATTCATGGTGTAGGACCATGGACTGCAATGTGAAGATGAACCTCCCAAAAGGCTCTCAGGAACACCCCAGAGGAAAGGACACAGTTCAAGAGATCAAAACCCTACACTACGTTATATATAAATCCTGGGTTATAAATGCAAATCTCTAAACTGTTGCCCCTACGCCAACCACAGGAGATAGAGCTCATGTCTGGTATAGTAGTACCGCTGGCTCTGCAATTTGACCATTACTAGTCGTTGTTTTCTTTTCATGAGAGAAAGCAGAAAAAGATTGTGTCCCAGAAAACCTAAGTGAGGATGCATGACACAGAACCAACGAATTTGTGTCAAAGAGCATTGGACAACAGTGGGGATCCAAAGCAGAAATGACACATTCAAGAGCAAAGTGGCAACCCCAGGCATCCTCACTCTTTATGTTTATGAGTCATTGAAAGACTCATCCATATCTAGTGGAGATGTTGATTTCATTAGTAAGATTTTCATCTTCGTAATTTTCATCAGTACAAAATACTGTGATTGGCAACAATAAAGCAAGCCGAAGATAAGATTAGAAGACCACCAATGCTGAAGACTCACTCTAGTCTCGTGCCCCCCCACTCCTGAGGAAAATCTGAAGAATAAGTGGTTTCACCGCACCATGGAAACACCAACACCATGATACTAAGTTTCCCTTTAGCTTTGTTAAAGACAGGGTGTGCAGTTCCAGAGGTCTGATGTGTTGTAATATCTCTCTAAGCCCTGTAGGCTCAGGGTCTCTGGTTAGACACTAATCTTCTTTGCTAGTCTTCTATTCAGAAATCTGCTTAACTTTATTCTTGATATTGATGTTTATAATTTAACCAGTACCTTCTGAATATCACTGTGTTTTTATGAGATATCAGAAAAAGAAATGAAAAAATTAATGTAGTTCATCAAAATGCTAATTGAAGAGTGAGTAAATTAAGGTGAAAATGATGCACAATTGTGTTACTAGATCATGGTTACTTTCCTTCTAATAAAATAAAATGTAGAAATCAAAATGTACCAAAAGAAAATCTTGGTGATATTTGTACAACTAACCTCACATTATAATAAAATAGAAAAAACTGTGATTTATTATTAAAGAGTATGCCAAATTTCTTATTAAGATACAAAACAACTGCTTCTTATAATTTTAAACATATAAGAATTAAAATATCAACTCCAGTTTTGAAATAAAAATAGAAAACATTCATCAGATGTTTGTGTGTATGTGATGTGAGCTGTGACAGTATAAAAAGCCCCTACAGTGGCAATTCTGAGGTGGTTTTAAATCATTCATTTTATCATTTTCTGCTTAAATATGTCAAAACAAGGTGTTACGAGTCATAAAATGGCATATCTCTGAACAACACTTCAATGCTTGCAGTTAAAAGGTTTAATCATGACCTTTACTGGTAGTATGAATCACTGTTTCCTTGAGAAGTGCAGACTTCCCCCTGCAACTGATTACCCATCACAAAGATACCCTTTAATTCTCAAAGAGAAGTATTCGAACATTTTTGCTTGAGCACACAAAGCTAGTCCAATTTTAAGAAATGTAGTGACTATTTATAACACCCTAGATTTTTCTCTCAGCTAACGCACATTACTTTTGAACACTCAAACACCTGATAAATGATTTTCTCTTCTAGTGCTGAGAAATAAAGGAATTTATGTCATGATGTGTACAGTTATATACCTAGGGACTGAGTTGGCAAGTCATGGGAAGTTTTCTTTTCCTCATTTGTGACTTAGTCCTCCTTTTCCAGACTACATTTTGAGAGATGATGAAGGTAAGGTGGCCAGCCAGTGTCTTACAAAGGCCTCAAATTCTCTGCTTCAACCCTGGTGTTAGCAGCTATCCAGCAGCAGGCATGAATAGAGTCTTCCTGGTCACCACATGTAATGCAATTCTCATTACTGATGTGGCTAGAACGACTGTAACCAAAGCCTATGATATATCTTGGCATCTCTATTTCAGGAGTGTTTGAATGCTCACAGCAGCTATAGGAACGTAGCACTGTTGTGAAATTTTAAAACCCAATGCAAGAATAGATAGATGAATCACTAGTGTAATACAAGAGAACCTTCTCAAAACGTTAAGGTAGAATAACAGACAGTGCACAAGTGCGTGCATGTGCGTGTGGTATGTGCGTGCGTGTGTGTGTGTGCGTGTGTGTGTGTGTGTGTGTGTGTGTGTGTGTGTGTGTGTGTGTACATTTCCGATTCACCGATCTTTTGTTCCCTTTTAAAGCATCTGGCTGCTTGCCTTTGTGTTTCCTACTTTATCCCTTATATCAGTGGTTCTCAACCTTCCTAATGTTACAATACCTTAACACAGTTACTCCTGTTGTGGCAACCCCCAACTATAAAATTATTATTGTTGATACTTCATAACTATAACTTTGCTACTGTTATGAATCATAATGTAACATCTGTGATTCTGATGGTTAGGCAACTCCTGTGAAAGGGTTGTTAGACCTCCAAAGGGGTCATGACCCAACCCACAGATTCAGAACCACTGTCCTAATAGACTTCCATTTAGATACTGAGTGGAATGAAAGGAAGGCTTTTGCTAAAACTACTGGCTCTGTAGAATTCTAGCTTTAATTTCCCCTAGAATCACCTTACAAAGGCTCCTGTTTGGAGTTCTCAGACATATATTATCCCCATTGAGATTTGGGACACACAGAGGCAAATCAGGTTAGACACTGACGAACTGAATCCATGATACACCACAAGCCTGCTTCAGCCCTTATTGAACAAAACTGTAACGTACATTTCGGGTTCTTGGTTATTCTACAATTTCCCACCCAAAACACAGCCATCAACATGCTTCTTAGTTGGCAAAGGCACAATTCATGAACCTAAAGGTTTTTTTTTTATAAAACAACTTCTTAAGTATTTAGAAATGTTTGTTTCGTTTGTCAGATCCAGAACTAAACCGCAAATGTCCTTTATTTCAACACTTTTTCTTAATGCCATTCCAAAGTGCCTTCCTAAAACATTAGAAATACCTTGGCCAGTACACCAGCTTCTGTGTTCAGAGGACGATGTTTAGCTGATGTCAGCTTATTTCTCATCACATGGAAACAGCTTTGGTTTTTTTTTTCAGGTATTTTTTTATTTAAATTAGAAACATGAATGCTTCACATATCAAACACAGCTCCCTCTCCCACCCCTCCTCCCTTGTCCCTCCAACACTTGCTTGCATCATTCAAAAGTAAGAAAGTATTTCAGACCAGCCCTTGCCCCATGTGAGGTCAGAGACCCTATGCTCATTCTCCAGCACAAAGCTAGGATCCCACCTTAACATGCTATACCTTGGACTGGCCCCATGTGGTGTCAAAGAATCATGCCTAGAACCCCATTCTAAGTTCAGGATCATGTCCTGTAGCCAACCACATCAGGCTTGGTCCCCTATGAAGTCAGAAACCTGTTCTTAGAGTACATGGAAACAGCTTTATCAACAGTACCCTAACAGTTACTCAGCATGAAAACCCTACTAGGTTCTAACTTTCGAAAACGTATCATTATCTCTACAAAAACATATTAAAGGTAGTTTCGAACTAGAACCAAGAAACTCCAGTTCTACTTCCAGCTCAGCTCAGCTATGGATTAGGTCCCTGGTTTAAGGAGTACTGTCTCCTTGGGTTCAGTTTAATTTACTGAAAATCAGTTAAAACTGCTACTGAAAAAAGAAAAAAAAAAAAGAAAAGCCCTCTAAGCTCCATGCTCTAATCACTTCTGTGAGCTGCTTACACACATACACATCAGTTGATATGGATGTGAGAAAAATGCCAGGCATGATCCAGTCTCCCCAAGTATACTTAATCCACTTACCCATCTACATTTACACCCAAACAGACCAAATGCCTGCCAGCTTGGGGAGTAACTGAACGAATTTGTTCGATGCTAACACAAAGACAATCCCAGTGCATCCTAATAATTCATGTGGCAATACAATGAGACTGAAGTTTAAATACCTCATGCACAAGAAGAGACAAAGCTATGTGTAGTTATGTAGTGCACTACAGGGACAGCATGAGAAAAGTAATAGAGGGATATAACTCATGCCCCCTGATGGATTTCCGTCTGAACATCAAATTCCCTTTCCATCATCAAAGGGACTCAAATATTTAATTATGACAGGGTGTGGAATGGGGGATGTCAGGACATGAATCTACACACCACTCCCACCTAGGCTATTAGAGATGCAATGGGGACTTTTGAAAGTCTCACTTTAAAACACACCTCCTAATGCTTCCTAATGAAATATTCAATCTTGCAAGCTGAAACATACATCGATTTTTTTAGAATATAGAAGGAAATGTAAAACAGTCTTTTAATTACACACATTCTCTAAGCTTTTTATTCTACCTATTTTGCCCTCCTTTAACAGATCAAAAAGAAAGGGAAAAGAAAAAAAAACCCTGAAGATGTTAAACATCAAAATGTAAATAACGCCTCTCTTCTGGAAATGCCACTGCAATGCAAACCAACAAATGTCTCTGTAAACATCCAGGGGAAAGCCATCATTAGCATGGCCAGGCTTTGTGAATATCAAGCAGTTCTGGTGTCATACACAGGGATTTGCAACAGTGAGACATGCTTTGCATCTAAGCCATTTAGACGTGTAACTAGGAAATGAAAATCTCATCTGGACAAGAAAATAAACAAAGGCCATATGTAGCAGACACAGTGAGCCTTTCTGGTGCACATAGTGATACTGTTAGATTAACCCAGGGTGTATGGAAGTGAGAAGTCCATGTAGAGATAGATAGCTGAAGACGGCTGTATTCTGTATAACATTCGTGAGTATTCAAAGCCACAGAACTC